CCAGGAGGGTACCAGCACCCCTGAAGAATCCCTCGCTGAGCATCCACGACCAAGTTGCTCCACTCCTGAGCGTGGGTACTCAGGCTGCCCGGCGCATTCTGAGGGGTGCAAAATTCCGATCAAGACAACTGCGCCGGGCAAACGGAGCAACAAGACCAAGGCGAACCCTCGCCACGCTATCCGTGAATTTCTGCAATATTAGGGGACTTCACTCTAATCTAAACGCCGTCCACTACCATCTGGAGACGGCGAGGCCGGCTCTGCTCTTTCTGATTCTGATGTCTCGTATCTCTCCTACCCGGGGTACAAACTGGAACACTCCTCGTTGCCTCCGGTTGGAGTTTGTGTTTACGTCAGAGAGGACATCTGTTTTCGACGCCTCGGCAGACTTGAAAGTTCGGACCTGTCCATCCTTTGACTACGCGTAGACAGCGACGACGATCCGAGCGTCTACGGGTGCCACTATAGGTCCCATAGCGGTAATGCCGAAACAGACCGACTCTTCGACCACGTCCTAAAGGCTACAGATTCGTTGCTGCAGCAGATCCCCTCCGCAGAGATCGTAATCCTCGGCGACTTTAACGCCCATCACGCCGAATGGCTTGGTTCACGTTTAACCGATCATGCGGGGAGATCTGTTCATGATTTTGCCTTGGCATATGGTCTGACAAACTGGTTATTTCATCATCATCATTACTTCGCCTACGCGGATTCCAGATGTGGAGGATCATGCACCTTCCCTGTTGGACCTTCTGTTGACCTCTCACCCGGACGGATATGAGATTTCCGTCGACGTCCTTTAGGCTCCTCGGACCATTGTCTTGTCCGGAGTGTGGTGCCACTCACGCCGAAATCGCAGTTACCTTCTGCAGGCTCTCGCCGTGTTTGGCACTATAGGTCAGCCAATTGGGATAGGATGCGGTCTTTCTTTGCATCCTACCCTTGGGGGCGGGTTTGCTTCTCGCCGGACGATCCCAACGTTGTTGTGGATTCTGCCGCTAATGTGGTATTTCAAGGCATGGAACTTTCTATTCCTTCCTCTGTAGTGCCCATTGGAGGCAAATCTCATTGATGGGTTGGTCGCTCCTGTAAAATAGCATCATGCTATAAGCAGGAGTGCTACCAAGCCTGAGCTGACGCATCAACGTCCCGGGATGTAAACATCAGCGCTCTAAAAAAGAAGTATAATTCCGCCTGTAGGTCCTTCAAAACAGTCATTGCCAAGGCAAAGTCAGAGCACATATGCAGAATTGGCGAGAAACTAGTTCGCCTTCCTTCTGGACGCCGGTGCAGCCATCTCCTCCATCTCTGCACAGGGAGGACGACTCACTGGCCCATAATGCAAAGGAGAAGGCCGATCTGCTAGGCTCTTTCGTTGCGTCCAACTCGACACGATGACGAGGGGAGTACGCCGCCGATCATCCCGCGGTGTGAGTGCTGCATGCTGGAAGTGCAGTTCACACAGCGCTCGGTTCGGAAAGCACTCTTCTCCCTGGACATCCACAAGTCGAGTGGGTCTGACGGAATCCCCCAATTATGCTGAGGACGTGTTCTCCAGAGTTGGCACCAGTTTAACGTGTCTTTTCCGGTACTCCTACTCCCTAGGCGTAGTCCCAAAATCATGGAAGACGGGTTTCGTCCACCCGACCCCTAAAAAAGCGACCGCTCAGACCTGTCCAACTATCGGCCTATCGCCATCACGTCCTTGGTCTCCAAAACAATGGAGTCTATTGTTAACTGCCAGCTCATGAGGTATCTTGAGGATCACCAGCTGATTAGTAACCGCCAATATGGTTTTCGCCGTAGTCGATCAGCTGGTAATCTTCTGGTCTACCTAACTCATAAATGGGCGGAGGCAGTAGAGTCCAAGGGGGAGGCATCGGCCGTTAGTTTGGATATTGCGATGGCCTTCGATCGGGTTTGGCACAAAGCGCTTCTTTGGAAGCTCACTTCCTATGGGCTTTCCGAGAAATTGGATCACCAGCTTTCTTGTAGATCGGAGCATCAAGGTCGCTGTAGACAGTGCAAGCTCCGATTACAAGCCTTTTAATGCTGGTGTTGAACAAGGCTGCGCGTTATCGCCAACGCTGTTTCTTCTGCATATCAATGATACGTCGCAAACCCGTAACATTCATTTCTATGCAGATGACAGCACTGATGATGCTCTGTACACCGACCGTGCCAATATTTCTCGGGAAAACGTCTCCGTGTATCGGGACAAACTTGTGTCTGAAGTCGAGTCTTTGCTGAACGGAGTCTCGGATTGGGGGCGAATAAATCTAGTCCAGTTTAACCCCCAAAAGACAGAAGTTTACGCGTTAACCGCTAAAAAGAACCCCTTTGTCGTATCTCCCCAGTTTCAAGGCACTACCCTTGTTGCCTCTGCCAGTATCGGTATCCTCGGCGTACCGACATATCGAGTGATGTGCAGTTTCGTGGTCACTTGGAAGAGAAGGCCAAATTGGCCTCTAAAAAGCTTGGCGTCCTCAGCAGAGCGGGACAGTATTTCATGCCGGCATACCGCTTGCAACTTTACAAGGAACCTGCAGGTTCGGCCGCATATGGAATACTGTTCCCATCTCTGGGCTGGGGCTCCCCAGAACCAGCTCCTTCCACTTGACCGCATTTAGCGCAGAGCGGCTCGAAACGTCGACGACCGAGTGCTTTCCGATCAGCTCGATTCACTGGTGCTGCGAAGAGATGTTGCATCTCTTTGCATTTTCTGTCGCGTATACCATGTGGAGTGCTCTGAGGAATTGTCTGGATTAATCCCAACCGCCAAATTTTGTGAACGCACTACGCGGCAAACGTCTCGATACGATCCACACCATCTGGATGCTTGGTGGTCCGCTATTGTACGTTTCACAAGGAGTTTTCTTCCGCGTACGACCTCTCTGTGGAATAGTTTCCCACCGGCGATTTTTCCGGACCGATACGACCTGGGGACCTTCAAGAAAAGAGCTTACTCCTTTCTAAAGGGCCGGCAACGCACCGCAATTCCCCTGGTGTTGCGGTTGATCATGGGCGGCGGTAGTCACTTACCATCAGGTGAGCCGCATGCTCGTTTGCCCCCTGTTCTATAAAAAAAAAAGAATACTTACCAATAAAATCGAATAATTACCAGGGTTAAAGAAGTTAATTCTTTCGAAATCTTATTCAGCCTTTTATTTATAATGAAAAACATATTTCAAAAATATACCTATATTGCAATTCAATTAATTAATTAAATTTTAACGTATCACGTTCATACGTATCAACTCTTTGTGTTCTTAAATGCATTTTATAGCTTTTGTCCATTAACATATTGTATGTTAAAATATTTTAAACTTAATAACTTTTATAAATTGAAGCCGTTATGTTGGTATTGAATTTTTTATAGGGTAGACAGCCTTCGGCTGTCCTGATGTTAAGTGACTACCGCCGGTCATGAACAACCGCAAAACTAGGGGAATTGCAGATGCGTTGCTGGCCTTTTAGAAAGGAGTAAGCTCTTTTCTTGAAGGTCCTTAAGCCATATCGGTTTAGAAAAATGGCCGGTGGTAAACTATTCCACAGAGAGGTCGTACGCGGAAGAAAACTCCTGATGAAACGTACAGTGGTGGATCGCCAAGCATCCAGATGGTGTGGATGGTATCGGGAATTTTGCCGCAATGTGCTTTCGTGAAATTTGGTGGCTGGGATTAATCTGAAAAATTCCTCAGGGCACTCCCCGTGATGGATGCGAAAGAAAATGCAGAGGAATGCAATATGTGTTCACAGTGCCAGTTAAGAATTTTAGAATTACATTCAATATTGTGATTTTATAAAATTAATTTTGGACTCAAGATTGCACTTAACGCCTTGGTCTATATAGCATCAGTACGGAAGAACGAATTAAACAAAATCTCATACCGCTTTGAACTCCCGATATTTGATAATCCAAAGCATTAATAAAATAGAATAAGAATAGAATAACCATTTATTTAATAAAAATTACATGTAATTCTTAGTAATTTGTTCCTTTTACCATTATCTTGAAACTGGAATGAGAAATATAAAGATATATTGATTAAAACTACTTTACGGATTTTATCATAAACAGACTTCCCGGAACTTTGACGTCTGCAGTTTGCGATCATATCCTAGATGGCCCCCAACCATTACATCAGATTTGATAGACCACAAATCCTCGCGAAAGAACACCGCTTCCTACCAAGGATGATACGTGAGGCTATTGAAATTAAAAAACATCCTAATTCAATAGAGAAGGAGCCTGGGTACTACCACCTGCTTGGGATCCTATAATCAATAAAATTAAAACTAAACCCAAGCATATCACTGCAAGACCTCAGGACATAGTCAGTTCATTTTGTATAGATCGGACCATAAACAATAATTAAAAAAAGCTGAAGGTACTCCGGGTTTAACAATGACATCAGGACGTCAGTCATCTCAGTCCCCCGTGACCATGGGTGCTGGAAAGCGCCCGAAACGTCGAGAATTAAAAATAATAGTAAAATAAACGCGATAAAATCCGTAAAAGTAGTTTTAATCAATGTGTAGTATTCGCGTAAATATAAGAAATCATTATATAAAGATATACTTATGTATACATATCTTTAAGTTTTAATATTCACGTGATCAATTTCATGTTTCTCGCTGACTGTTAGCCGCGACACAAAGTTTTGGGACAAAGTGTGTCGTTTGCGGAAAACTCGAACTAAATATAGGCGCGGGATTATTTCTGACGCTTGATGTCGCGCCGGCCGCTATGCAGACTCCAATCTAAACACATTACCGATGGCCGACTTAAGCTTTGAACGTTTATTACGTTCGTTTCAAAGTATTGTTTAACATAAAATTTTCGTTATTACACTTAATTTGGTAGGTAAATTATGTTAATTATCATCTGTTGGTTTTACGACAAGTGTCAGTGTATACAGTTTTGTGTTTTAGGTAAAAGAAATATTAAACTCTATTTTAGATAAAAGTTGAGCAGTTTTTTCGAAAAATGAATTAAAATGATATTTAAGACATTATTTCTTATTTTAATATTTTCAAAATGTGTACCGTCGGAAGTGTTTACAATAGGTTCGTATGGTTTATATAATATTCGTTTTAATTTATAAAAAGGATTTAGTATTTTAAGTTTTATCTCATTGTATTCGAGCAATTTCCATTAGTACAATCAAACAAGTAATCATTTGTACATTCAAATAGCTTGAAAATGACAAAAACACAAACAGATTAAGGGAGATTTATGAAAAAAAACATAAAATATTTTATTTTTTACTTAAAATTCGAAAAAAAAAACAACTACTTATTCATATCAGCTTAGCAGTACATTTCATTTTAAGTGATCACAGTAGCAATATAATTATTTTTCAAACTAAAATATTATGCTTTAAGCAATTTCGTTCTTTTTTAAATTGTAGGTGGAATATTTTACTCAGACTCCGAAGATCTGAAGGCAGCTCTTGTTGTAAGCGCAAAAAAGTATGATTTTAATGTTTCAATAAGGGAAGTGTCAAGAAACGGTGAAATACTCGATTTAAATGATGTTATATGTGAACTTGCGGAGGTACTTCATTTATTTTTTATTTTTGCATACAGTCACTAATTCGCCATGAGCTTTATTTAAGAAGATCTTACCATAATTGCCACGCCTAGCAGGCGTATTAGTAATCGTAATACAGTAGTAATCTCGCACCTTTGACGCAGCTCTACGTCTCTGAACCAACATTTTTAACAAGAATCAACGAAATGGTTATTCTGCCATACATAAGTAGCTGTGAAATCCTTCTTGCTTTTCTTTACCTATTTGTCCCATATACGAGTAATGTGTTGCATATTACGACACATACGGACCAAAATACGTACGTCGTTTAAAACTTTTATTGCGTAAAATGATAAAATATTCTCCAATTTTCTTTTCTTTAGGCAGGTTGATTTATATACACAATTGTCTACATAGTCTTAAATTAAAACAGAAAGAATGGTTTGAGTAAAATTTTTGAACATTGCGAAATTCATGCCGTTGTTGCTAAACTTTACGAGTAAACATGATAGCTGCTAAAATGATGGAATAATAGAAAGTATAAATATTTGTGCAAATAAGAAAGTAATAATATTTAATACAATAAGAATGACCTATTTATTAAAAATTAAATATATTAAATTTATTTATTTAATTGGAATATAAACTTTTTTTTACACTTAATATTAAAAAAACAATAATAAAGAAGAACTAAAACTAAATATTTTTTATTATAATTTATATTACATCACAATACAAGTTAAATATTTGCAATTAATCTGCAACAAGTTTCGTGAAATAATTTAAAACCGTTCAGTACTACTACTGTACTATATATTATTGACGATAAAATGCTAAAACATTAATAAATTTAGCTTTAGTATCCTTTATTTAGTCTCCTAGTCATTTTTCCAGGATATCATAGAACCACAAACACATCTCTAATCCTGTAAGAAGATAGGCATTATTAGGGATTAAACGTGGCTAAGTCGACCTGGTTTAAGAAGGTATATATTTTTTTATAAATTTCAGGAGGGAGTAATAGGGATCATAGATGGCACAGGTGGTCAATCAACGGCGTTTATTCAAGCTCTATGTGATATGTTGGAATTACCCCACGTCACCGTACAGCATAATGACGTAAATGATAAAAACGCCTTCATACTGAATTTACATCCCAGTTCCGCAGCTTATAATATGGTACGCATTTTAAGGTTTATCTGTTTTTTTTTTTTCTAAGAATATAAATATATGTATCTCATTCACGATGTAAAACATTTTCACGGACAACTTTGTTATGTATGTACGTTAGACGCTTTTTTTTAAGTGAAATAATATTTTGTTGATAATTATACCGTTTAGTGACAATATAAACTAATCTAAATTCAATTTATTAAAAGACAGTTAATGGAAATTTCGGAACAAAATAAGGTAAATTCATAGGAGCGGGATAAATACTTTTAAAATTCTTATGTTAAAAAGCAGCACCAATTACAGAAAATTAATCTTGTTATAAGAAAGCTGTGAATCTTTATCATCTCTTGAGATGGCTTATTTTTGTGCGGTTATATTTACAGCTGGCAAATAAGATATTTTATGTTATCAATTTTAGCCAACTTATTAAAGTCCACTGCTAAATACAGGCCTCCGTATGTTGCCTCATAGGGGAAATATTTTCCATATTCGTCACGTTTGGCAAGCAGCTTGGCAGCCACAGTTTTTTTTATTCCTTTTATATTAGGTTTTTTATATTTCCTTTGTTAGGAAGACGCTCCTGCCCATCTCCTTCTTTGATTCCCTCTGTCGCCTCTTACGACACCCGCGGGATGATATGGGGTAGTAGATATTCTTACACTGTCACTACACGGTATAGTTCTAGTTAATTCTTTGTACCTAATTATTAATCCCAGGATTCACCGACTGACCTTCAATGTAATTGTTATTGAAAGTTTCGCTCACAACGGTTTCTCTGGAAAAAAACTAATTTAATATATACAACTCGTAACATAATTAATGCACTTTGAGAAAGTAGTTTGTTCAGATTCGTTTACTGAATCGATTCCTATCATTTTTAATGTAGGTAATTTTTTATCCCAAAAATAATTAAAACTACGTAAATTACAGTCACACTAAATCTGTACAGTCAAAACAAACTGAAATGGACCGTAACTTAAGGCTATAAGACTTTTAAGAGTGCAGTTTTATTTGTATTATTACCAAATCTGTCATTTAATAAAAATAAAGAAAAATGAACTTTATTTCAAGCACGTTAAAGTCTTTGCGTTCGTGTATTTGTACTGTGACCTCAATATTCTTCCGGAATTAGTATAACTAATTTGATTAAAAATTATTAAAATTTTTATGCACTGATTATCAGTGCATAAAAATGTTTAACTAAAAATTCAGTGTATGTATTATGATTATAACATAATATACTAATTGGGGTGTCTGAGGGTGTGCGTTAATTACGTTACATATTATATATATAAATAATATATATATATATATATATATATATATATATATATATATATATATATATATATATATATATATATACAGATACCCCAATTAGTAAACGTGCTTGAAATAAAGTTCATTTTTCTTTATTTTTATTACAGAATTAGTAATAATACAAATAAAACTGCACTCTAAAAAGTTTTATTTCCTTAAGTTACGGTCCATTTCAGTTTGTTTTGACTGCGCAGATTTAGTGCGATTGTAATTTACGTAGTTTGAATTATTTTTGAGATAAAAATTACCTATATTAAAATAATAGTATAAAAAAAAAAAATATATATATATATATATATATAAGATAATCCATGGAAATCAATGGATTAATCTCCAGGCTGACCTTTAACACCTTTTGACGCTGGTTATAACGCCATCTATCGGAAACCATAAGATCTTTCTAGCATTTTCCATAGTTCCGTCTCATTACATCCACAGGAGGAAATGGAGTGATGAATACTTTTACGCTGTCACGTCATGTATTCTATCGACGTATTGGAATATATTATTGTGTTAAAATTTAATGACATATTTTCTTCATAGGTAATGGAAAAATTGGTAGCACGAAAAGGCTGGCCAACTTTTACAATACTTTATTTAAAAGGTTACAATATAGCTCGTATAAGCAGTTTATTGAAAATGAATACTCACAATGACAGATATATTGTAACTGCTAGAGAACTGAGTGGCGACGACTACAGGTATTTAGTGGTATTTAGTGCAGTAGTGAATTCAAGTCCGGTCAAATTGGACCAGAAAATAAGAGTGAAAATACATAAAGTTACAACAAGCTGATAATAAGTAAAATTGTTCAAAATAAAATTTTGAAGTTCCCTACCATTCCTGTGTATGGAAAAAAATTACTCATGGTCAAAAGTCAAAAAAAAATAGTTTTTCCCGATTTTCAGCAAAATGGTAAGTTTAAATATAAAAGTACTCTTTACAAAAATTGTAGATCATAAAATTATCTACAAAAAATGTATCAATGCTTTTTTTTCCTACGAGCTACCGTTTCTGAGATATTACGATTCAAAAAGTTGTAAAAGTTGTAAACGTCATAATATGCATGAGTATACCAAGTATATATATCTCTAGAGTTTTAATATATGTGAAAATATTTTTCTATCGTTAATATCCATAGACAGGAATGGTGGAGAACTTCAAAATTTTATTTATAACTATATTTTGAACAATTTCACCGATTATCAGCTTGTTGTAAATTTATGTATCATCGAATGTCTAAATTGACTGGACTATTCTGTTTCTGTTATATTATTATTATAGGTATAGTATTTACAAAGTATTTTCATATGGTCGGGCTGAATTAATATATAAAAGCAAATGATAAATATACATAAATATATATTAAATATACTAACATAACTCTCAACTTGGAGGGTATATCGCCATAGTTGCCACGCTTGGCAAGCGGGTTGCCAACCGCAGTTTTTTTGTTGAACAATTGCTGTTATTAGGAAGATGCTGCTACTCATCTTCTGTTTGTTTCCCTCCATCGCCTTTTACGACACCCACGGTAAGATAAAGTAGTGGATATTCTTAACCGCCACTACACGGTTGATAGACGCAGTGACGACCTCGTAAGATATGTAGGAAGTCGATGGATGGAAGTAGCCCAGGACCGTGCTTTGTGGCATTCCTTAGGGTAAATCTCAGTTTAGCAGTGAACTTGTGAAGTACTGTTATGTTGATAATGATAATGATGATACTTAGATAAATAAATAAATAATACGTAAATAAATAAAAGCCCAACGAAATGGAAGCCCTCGACAGGGAAGGCCAAACGGCCGGGGGTTAGGGGAAAAGGGAAAGAACCCGACGGACAATGCGGGTGGTATCGAGGAGCACTGCCTTCTGCATTTGAGCCCGGAGCGGTTCATCACAGAGTCTCAGCCGCCTCAGATGACTCGAGAGGCTGACCGGGATCAGCTCGTTTGCAGCAACGACTACAGGAATAATTTCGGTCAGCAGACCTCCCCACATTTCGGTCACCTCCTAAGTCAGGTCCAGATATTTTGTTTATTTATCTCTTTCGGCTTTCACGAGGTTCTCGTCATACAGAATGGTAATGTCGACCAAAAATATCCTTAACTGTGCCCGGTCGATCAGCACAATATCAGGCTTATTTGCAAGGATAGTCCTATCTGTGATGATGGCCCGATCCCAATTGAGCCTGATGCGGTAATTTTCGAGCACGGTTTCCGGCAAGTACATGTAATACGGCAATTTCCGGTTCACGAGACCGTTTTTCAGAACGAGCTCCTGGTGTAAAATTTTAGTTACTAGGTTGTGCCTGTGCAAGTACTCAGAGTTAGAAAGCGCCGAACAACCTGAGATGACATGCCTAAGTGACTCACCGGGATGGTGATAAGCGTTAAATAAAACGTGGATGGCAACGTTTAGGATGTACTTCCATAGTTGTTGGTCTTAATTACCTGATCCTGTATTGCACAGACAAAATCTCCGGTTTCACCGAAAAGTTCAACGAAACATAGTTGAAGGGGCGACTGTATCTACAAAGGGCTCATGTAGAGCCCTGTAGTATCTCCCGTGGAGCTCCTTCTCCTTCCATACGGTCTTTCGGTTGGAAATGCTATGTACTGCTGGGTCCTGCCTATGCTCGTTGGCTAAGGATAGGGGAGTAAGCCCTTGATCACAAGAAATGACTTCATTTTAGAATGGATCATCCGATTTCGCCAGGAAGTAATGACGGAGGCTGCACACTTCACGATTATTATTATTATTATACGTCACGATGGCGCGCTCACTGTGGATAATGTGTAGATGTGACATATAATATTTTACTTAAATATTAAAGGCAAAATTAATACTATTCTATAAATAAATACATTATGTCTTATATATTTAGGAGAATAGCCTACAATTATATTAAATTTGTAAATGTATTAATCAATGTTTCATAAAGGTATATATAATATTTGTCTTATTCTAATTTTAGGGATGCTCTTATTAAAGCACGGGACAGTGGCTATACGAACTTTGTAGTCGATTGTCCTACAGCAAATTTGGAATTAATTTTGAAGCATGCTCAAGAAGTTGGTTTGATGGCTGATGAACACTCATACATATTTGTATCAACTGATTTGTTTACAAAGGATTTAGAAAGATACAGATATGGGGGAGTTAATATGACGGGTAATCTTTTATTATGAAAAATTTACAAAAACTAAGGGCATTAAAAATTTAAAAAATATAATAACAACACTTAAAGCCCAAATTAAATTAAATATTTTTGAAAAAATTAACTTTACATTAATTTTTTACAGGTCTGAGTTTAGGAAACTTGGAACAGAATGAAGATCTATGGAATTTCACGGATATGTTTAACAGAGAATCTGGTTTAGCTCTTGAATCAATTCAACTTAAAAGTAAAATCTTATTGATACATGATGCTGTTCTTATATTTATGAAGGCTACAGAAAAGATGAAGAAATATCTGAAAAAACCAGTGGATCTAAGCTGCGTAAATTATACTTCGTGGAATCACGGATCTTCATTGTTAAATTTCATGAAAACTGTACGTAGTATATTTATTGAATTATTCGACTGGATGAAGTAATTATTACTGAGAAATAACGATTTTATATTTACAGAATAAAGTCGAAGGATTTACGCGATCATTATTATTTGATGGTTACGGAGACAGGAATAATGTCATATTTGATATTCTTGAAGTCACACCCGCTGGAAACCAAACGGTTTGTTTATTGCAATAAATATTAATGAATTTGAATAAGAAAGTAAGTTATAGCCGTAACTGATTGGTACAGATAACGCTTTATTTTTGAAAGAGTATGGAGCAGTTAGTCTCCTGCACTGCCCTAGAAGGTATTGTCAGACTTCACGTGTTCTCAAAATATTTTTCACAAAATATTTCTTTAACTTGCAGAATTCCTCACAATATTTTCCTTTATCGTCGAGTCAGTCAGCATTTTAAAACAGAATTGAATATAACTGAGGCAACATTTTTTTGACTATATGAAAAATAAGTGGAAACAGAAATAAAAACTCTTGTAAGATGCAGGGACCCGTCAAACCCTTCAAACTAATATGTAGGCTAAAAATTTGTCTAATAATTCAAAAGAAAATCTTTTCAAAGAACTTAAAAAATAAAATGATTTCCGTATAATCATTAATAATAATCCAGCTACTGAAGTCGGTGCTGAAAATAGTGTACACAAGAATAAAAAACACCGACTGTTCTATTCATTCAATCAAAAATTTGGAAACATTTTTTATGTTCTTTGATGTCACATTTCACATTTTAACTACTGGCTATTTTGAGTAATATATTATAGTATATAATATATAGAGTGTAAGTATCGTATTAATACTTACATTAAAAACTTCATTTTTCACATTTCGAGGATTAATTTTCGAAGTGATAACTTCTTTAGAATCGTCATTTGGAACTCGATGAAACTAACAGCGACATAAAGAAAAGAGACAAACATATACATCTTTATGATTGAGCCTGCGAGGAAATGAGATAGAATACAGTGTACAAACGACAGTAGCCTAATGGCAGGGTGCGGACTGCGACTCTAAAGGTTGTGGGTTCAAATCCGCAAGTCGACTACTGTTGTGAACAACTCCTACTAAAAGCATTTTCACTTTACCAGTATTTTCCTTTATAGGATAAGGGTAATAATAAACGAGCACATAGTCTATCTGATAGTAAGTTGGTTGCTGTGGCACATAGACATCTACATCTATCCTAGATTATGAATCAAAATGCAAATGCGTTGTCTCGCGTTATGACTAAGATAGAATGCCTCGTTTCCAGTAAAAAGGGTCTCCGGTTCTCTACATTCACTATACAAAACACAGCAGCGTTAACCTGCAATGTTACGCTGGTATTCTATGAGAGCGTGGTCCTTCCTCGGTTCAGCGCACCCATTCGTGCTATAACTAAACTACTAATATAACTGCAGTACGAGCCGTACTACCACGTATTAAAAGCAATACATGAACACACTCAATGAAATATTTTGACCCATATCGCAATAATAATAAAACTTATAAAATTTATTATATACAATTAACTTGTATTATTATTTAATACTAGCTGTTACCCGCGGCTTCGCCCGCATGGTCACTGGGAAATGAACTATCCATTGCTTTCTGAATTGAAAGAAAACTGAGTTTTATAGATTTGTCAGAGATGCAGCCATTAAAAGGAAACTGAGCAAAATTGATTCGTCAGCCTATTTAAAGCATGAAAATAGCATGTTTATTCCAAATGGAAATGGGATATTTTTTAATTAAAGGAAACTGAGCATAATTATCCGTCAGGGATTTTTTTTATTTATTTAGGACAACCAACAAGAAGTACACGAACACAATGTAAATACTACAAATTACAGGAATGTTTATATCTAAGTGTCATCTTAATTAAAGGTTGCCACGGCATGCAATGTGGACAACGAATATGTTTTTTAAAACTTACAACTATAAACTTAAAACTAGGTCTAAATGTTAGTTAAAAGTAAAGGACTGCATAATTTTTTGTTTGAATTTTTGAGGCTTATCAGCAAAAATATCAACGTCACATGTCTTGCAGAGCTGGTTATATTGCCTCTGTAACCTGTTTATGGTGGCGTGGTGAGCTAAATTAGTTTTAATGCCTTCAACTGAAAAGGGGACGTATCAGCTGACACGCACTAGCTTAAAAGGTACCTTGAAATTTATTGCACTTAGTAGGTATGGACAGTCTACGGTTCCATTGACGATTTTGTGTAGCAATATGAAATCTAGCAAAAGCCTCTGCTGTTGCAGGGTACTTAATTTAAAATATGTCAGTCGGTCTTCGTATGAGGGTAGATCCTTTAGTTTTTAAGTTTGGTACGAAAGATACCACAAAAAACGCTTCTGGATGCGCTCTATGCGTTTCACGTAAATGTCATAAAATGGAGACCAGACCTGACTACAGTATTCGAGGCTGGAACGGACTAAAGACTTGTACAAGGATAATTTTGTAGAGGTCCTCTTAAATTCTTTAGAATTACTCAACACGAACCCCAACATTTGAAGACCCCTTGTAACAATTCCATCAACGTGCTTATGATACCGCAACTTTTTGTCCAGAATCACACCCAGATCTCGAACAGAGTCCACTTCTACCAAAGGATGACCATCAATATTATACATAGGTGTCGGAACATTTACACACCTTGAGAATCTTATAATTTTACATTTATCGAGGTTCAAAAATAGTCTGTTCTTAATGCACCACAAAGACATCCGGTTCAAATCCTCTTGCAATAGGAGTGAGTCACTGTGGTCTTTGATTTTCAAGGACAATTTCGTGTCATCTGCGTACATAAAGCAGGTCGCGTGTTTAAAAACAGACGCTAAGTCATTTATAAAAATATTGAAAATGATCGGACCGAGATGGGAACCCAGAGGAATACCAGACGTAGGTAGAAATGGTTCTGAGGAGTAACCATTTTCCACAACTTTCGATTTTCTCTGCCTGAGGTATGAAGAGAACCATTCGATAAGATTGCCAGTGATGCCCAAAATTGAGAGTTTGAGAACATCTTATGTTATGATCTACAATGTCAAACGCCTTACTGAAGTCTGTGTAGATGGAGTGCACAGACAAGCGGGAATCGAGAGACTTGGAGACATAGTCCACAAACGAAACGAGATTTGTAGCTGCAGAGCGAGATGTTAAAAAGCCCGATTGTTGTGGTGAGATTATTTGTTTTAAGTGCCAAGCCAAAACAGGACAAACTAATGATTCAAAAACTTTAGCGAAGACAGACAATATGGATATTGGTCTGTAATTTCTGACGGATGTCTCCTGATTTATAAATTGGGACAATATCTGCCTGTTTCCAGACCGAAGGGAAAGTACCCGTTTTTAAAGACATATTGAAAATGGTTGTTAAAGACAAGGATAACGCTTCGCGGCAGTTGATTACAAACAAAGGGAGTATGTCGTCAGATCCAGCTCCCTTGGTCCGATCTAGACCAGTAAGAGTTTTGAATACTTGGTCTTGTGAGAAGTGCAGATTAGCAAGATAATTTGAGGTACAAATTTGGTCAACAACAAAGGGATGCAGACTTTTAAAAGAAACTGAGCTAAATTGATTCGTCAGAGATGCTGTTTTCTGAATTGAAAGGAAACTGAGCTTAATAGGTCCGTCAGAGGTGCAGCATTTGGAATTGAAAAGAAACTGAGCTAAATAGGAAATTTTGAATTGAAAGGGAAGATCTCTGGGAATTCTGATTAATTGATTGTGGGAATTTTGGAAATAAAACTAACTGAACACTATTTTAAGACGTTACTGTATACAATTTTATATGTTTTTCCATTCGGGGAAAGAATGTGGAGATTCTGGGCATTTGACACACGCGAACATGCTACATACAGCTGACCATGAGAGAAGCACGGTTTTCCTAAGTTGACCCCCGCTACCTGTAACGTTTGCCCTTGCGCTTTATTAATTGTCATTGCAAAACTGAGCTTAATAGCGAACTGCAACCTTTTGAATTGAAAAGGAAGATCTGTGGGAATTATAAGGATCCGTGGTATAATAACATTTTCACCTTTTCCTGCGCCTGCCAAAATGGTAGCACCGATTATGTTCCGTCCAAGATGTGTCACACGCAGCCTTGTCCCGTTACATAACTGAGGAGCATCTAAATTTCGCATTAGCATGACTGGGACGCCTAATTTTAACCGCACAGCGCAAAATCGAATGGCTGTTATATTTGATTTTGTCTATGTAACCGAGTGAATATAATTCTTCAGAATACTCTTTAGTTCGTTCAGAATCGAATGAAATAGTGTTCAATCGAAAATATACTGTATTTTTATATCAATTAATGACGAAAATAGTAGCACGTAATGCGGACATGAATACATGTCCTCTGTACTCAGCGGTCACAAAACGTGGACAGTCTCACATGTCCTCGGTACATGTGCGGATGGACAATATTGTCCTTAAAAATTCATTAAGTGTACTAATACTCTGCTTAAAATCCATACGAATATTATAAAGGCGAAAGTGTGTTTGTTTGTTTGTTTGTCCTTCTTTCACGTTGCAACAGAGCGTCGGCATGGCATGATTTATGGCGATTTGACATGGATTGTTTTTATGGGGATAGTTCGGTGACTGTAGAGTGACATAGGCTACTTTTTTCAGCGGAAAAACATATAATTTCCGTGGGAAAATCGAATATGTTGCAAAATTAAATTCAGCTAGGTGGCAACACCGTGATTCTACAAGACGGACGACGGAACGATGGACGAACACAGGAGGTCAGAATATCTGGATTATTATGTCTTTTTACCAAAACTAAGATAAAAATGTATGGATCTGTATTTTTCCACGCAGGACCGGGAAGAGAGCGATAAAAAAAAAAAAAAGAGTTTTCAAAGGTTCTTCTGGTTCCCCAAGTAACGTAAGAGACATTTTGCCATTGGAACAGCACATGCCTGCGGTCTCATTTTTCCACTTTAAAGCGCTGTAAATCGACACGCCTTGTCCATCAGTCCAATAACAACTAACCTGTGATTTTTATAATCAATCAACGGATCATAATTGAATGCTCCGTCATTAAAAACCGACCAATTGTTTCTGTGAAAATTTTGTCAACGTTCAGCTGGGAGCTGTGCATTTACATCTCTTCGCGCCTGTGTCTGTTCTGGTGTTTCCGATGCCCTTATAGTAGATTGACGTTCAGC